GAACAGTCAAGTTTGACACAATTGATTGACATTTTGCAAATGAAGTATTTAGTGCATGGTTCTCAGATTTTACTAAGGCGTTCTGTAATTTTGTGTTGAAATACATTCGATTCTCCCCACTTGTGTTCTCGCTCATTACAAAGCGATTATATATCTATAAAGATCATTGATCACCTACTCATGTCTTATCCATCGATGAATTTCACAACTATATGTATCTAAATGAGAAACAATTTATCACTGGGACCCTAACAAGTAATATGGCGCTTTATAAACATTACACATGTTATAGGCTTGTAGACACTAGTCAAGCGTTAAATGTGTGCCAGAGCATTGTGAATTACCTAGTCATTGATGATGTCATAAGTCATTCTTCTTTATGCATCAATTCGTACTAATTCTTCAAATCTAATTTATTGATTTCTTATTGGTATATATATATCATTATTCCACTTGTACATTTACAACTAGGACAAAAAACTGACCTACCATAATTTATTTTTGGGTGAATTCACCTGTGCTTTGTTAATTAGGTTACTAAACATGTCTTATTTATAAAACACATTGGATTATTGTGCGCATTATCTACAGCACTAGGGTGAACAAATCTTATATGTTTAAGTTGTTTGCAATGATTTGCGTGACTGATTCATCATATAAAATAGTAAAAATAGATTTCTGAAAGTTTATATCCTTTGAAGAATTACTCTTGTGTTACGTAATCACTCATGTGTACATAAACGTTGAATCATGTTAATATAGTTGATAATTTATAATCTTATGATAAATAATTTGACCCTAAGATTAGGTACCATAAAATTTAAAATTATGACAAACAAATATTCTTTTGACCTATGATGATTCATACCAAGTTAATTTATTTGAGAAACTTGATTTATAACTGAAAAGCTTGAGAAGAAAATTATTGAATAACAGTCATTCTTAGAATTATTATCAGTTGTCTTATTGTAAAATTTTGTTTTACTGTGGTATGCTATTTTTTGTTGAAGATTACTTACAGACAGTCATAACAATCATCATTCTGAATAGTTAGGCTCTTTTATACATTTATGTAACAAATAATAACACGGGTGAATGCCAACTCTGTAATCTAGAGGTTTAGAGTTCGAGAGCGGGATCGAAGGTTCTGGGTTCTAGTCTCGCCTGCGGTAACGTGGATGTGCATTACTGAGAGGCCTACAATAGAACGGAACGATCGTCCATTACTTCCAGGTTTTCGATTGTGGTGTAACTTAGATCAGCTCATGATTTCATTGAAACAATATAATCGTTCTACTGGCTACACACATTTGCACATCCCGTGTTTTCTTACCATATGAACATTTGCAGATAACTAATCGTTGACTAGGAATAATTATTGTATGCCTGAAACTTTAACCAGCAAGAGTCTTGAATTCTTGCCTATCTCAATATTCCCTCATTTGGGTGATATTTATTTATTAATTATTTATTTGAACACATAAATATTGGTACAAAGGGGTACCAGATACATATGCGTCAGACAATGACAATGAGAATGTGAAGAGATAGAGAACGTAAAGTGCACATAAAGAAAAGAACAATAACGAACAGAAACTAGTGTATGTTGGTGAAATAATAATAATGGGAGGGGCCGTCCAGTTAGTAAAAATATAAACAGAAAGGATTCTTCAGCAGATCCATACAGCCATTACCGACATCTATCAAAGCTGTTTCCAGAATGTTACCGATGGCAAATCTGAAGAGGAATGGTGAGATTGGGCAACCCTCTCTAACCCCGCTACTTGAGTGGAACAGTGGAGAGTGGTGGTTGTATACCCTCACTTTGCTTGAGGTATTCGTATATAGGGCTTTTAACATGTTGATAAACTTTTCAGGTAAACCCTTATTCAATAGACAATTCCAGAGAACAGTCCTGTCCAATGAATCGAAAGCAGCCCCGATGTCAAGAGACACTACGATTGTTGGTCTGTGATATGTATGACGGTATTTTAACATTCGGGTGATAAAGGATTGTAAATGAAAGTGAATAATATCTTAGTAATGATCAACACATGAGTATTTTAAAGTTCAGTTGAATTCTTTGAAGCGGTTGTTACCAAATGACTTTTGTATGACATGTGTTGAAGTTAAAACTATTACTAACACCTTATTTTCAGTGTAATACGCTATTTTTCCCTAACCAACTACCTTTTAAAAGAATGTTATCAAAACGCTTTTGCGTACATTGATATTTCAGCTATTGCTATTATGTTTGGTGTCAAAGAGTAAATTGAATATATCTATGTGTAATCTCTGTTTGTTTACAGTGGTAATTTAGTCATGTTTTGATAATGAGTGGAACTAATGATTAACGAGTATATTTTATTCTTTAGTGAATTTTCTAAATGTTTTTTATTAGGTGACTAAAATAGTAAAATATTTGCAATTTGAGATTATTTTTCGGAAGTGAGATAGTAGCCCACCCATGAGAACAGTTGGTGATTTAACTATTTGAAAATTAAATGAAGTTACGAATGAGAACTCGACCTGTCCAGTCAAAAAGTATTGTAATGACCAACACATGTATTTCCTGTTATGACCTCATTGAAATTTCTGAAATTGCTGTTGATATGTTTCATATTAAATGTATAGCACTATTTGGTTTACATTTATTCGTCGAATGATTGTTGTTCGTCAGTTAATCATCCAGATATACGAGACGTAGAACCTGGCATATGTATACATCGCTTCGATTTACCACACCTAATTAGTATAGCCAAATAAATTTATCAAGATAAATCTCAGAACAGTAGAGGTAGTAATGATATTGGTGTGAAAAGAAAAAACTAGGCATCAAAGATACGACTCATGAAAGAAATAAAGATTTGTTGGACAGAAAATTTCATGAGATAAGTATCAAACTCAGAATCTTAGTGAAGAAAAAGAGTGATAGCCTCTGAATTCTTGTGAATAATTCTGAATCACATCACCTGATATCTCCAACTGCTACGACAATCATGCAGACATAATAATAGTTCATAATGTAAATTATCTTCATTCTTGATATAAGTTATGTAAATTGAAATTTAAACAAACTCTCAGGTTATTAATTATCAATTTGCTTCATATAGTATGGTGTGGGTTGCTTATATCCACATAAGTAGTATATGACGATAGAATGCATTTTAGCAGAAGATCGATAAGGAAAGAAGGGGAACGAAACTCAATTGGTATGAAAATGCATAAACAATAATAATCGAAGACTATGGATTGATATTTGCAGAAGAAACAGTCAAGATAGAGACAATTGATTAATAGTCTGCAAATCACCTGTTTACTGTATGGTTGTCAGATTTTAACAAGATATTCAGTAATTTCGTGCCAGATATATTCGATTGTCCCTACTAGTGTTCATGTTCACGACGATGGCACTATTGATTACCTTAAGTCCCTAAAATTCATTCTCTCTTAATTTGAATATATAGGAAAAATCGTACTCATATTAGTGTTACATTAAGGTTATACATATCAAGTTATCGTCTAATGATTCAAGAAATATATCAAAGATTTAGAAATCGAACAGAATCCAAAAATAAACAAGGAATTTATATGCTCATCAAGCTTCTTATTCAAATGAAAATTTTAATTATTCACTAAATAGATTCATACAATATTCTTATGATAATTTAAGTAATTTAAATAATTATTCCATTGTGTGTGAATGAATGATTCTGGGAAAAGTGTAATTGGTCCCTTTGATTAATTTCGATAGTGTAATAAGAAGGCGAAGATTATCGGAACTATGTGATGATATATTAGCGCAATACATTTCGAACAATCTGATCATACATATACTTATTAAGAACATTTATATGTAGAAATAAAAGGTCAACTAGACTGAAAATGGGGGTAAGAGGAGACAAGGATAATAATAGTAGTAAAAACAATGTGAAAGCAATTTGACACCTAATCACTCTGGATATTAAGCTAATATTACCAGGGTAGGTTTAAGGAGAGAACAAACTGTTTTTGAATACACAAAGGGGGTTTGAATTTTCGTATGGCTAAGGCTTCACTAAGTGTTCTTAACAAGTATATGTGTGATCAGATTGTTCGAAATGTATTGCGCTAATATATCACATAGTTCTGATAATCTTCGTCTTCTTATTACATTATCGAAAAGAGTAATTCTTTGGGAACAATATTATTTAGCTTGTCTAAATTCTTAATCATGGGTCAAATAGTGACTGACTGACTGAAATAAGTAATTTACAAATTCAACTACATTTATAAATAAGAAAAAATTAATGACTGACAGGAAGAATGACTTCAAGCATTCTTCTTAAACATATTAATAGTTTTCTAGCGGTGAATACTTTCATAGATTGAATAAAAACTCTCAAAGCAATTATATCAGTAGCAATCGAAAATTAAGTATTAATTCTGTATTTTTTTTTAAAAATAAAAATAAAAGGACTGAAACCGATGGATGGAAAATACCGAATCTTATATAAGTCTGAAAATAAAATAAAGAATGAATAAAGCTATTATAATGTGATTTAAGTTTGCCACCCACTGATTCTAATTTTCACAGAAAACTTCAACGTAAAGTTTGCTTCTTGTAGAATAGCTTTAGTGAAAAATCAGTAATCTCGTGAGATGATGCAGTACTTCTTTTGATACACAGTGACTTGAGATGAGCGTTCATTTTAACAAAAAGAAGTTAAAAGTTGATCCGAAGTCGATTTACCATTTTTGTCCAGAATCCAATTCTTGTTCTCACAAATATTCACCTAGTGGCTTCAATGTAAATGAATATGCCCCTAAAGATATCTATGATCAAATACTGACAGCACTCAAACGTCCTCCAATTTCTTATGTTTAAAGTTAAGAGGATGGAAATGCTAAGCAGTATATTTGATATTTAATAATATTAAAAAGAACTTTGATAATCACATAATTATTTTTAAACATGAAAAATGATTTCAAAAAATTTTTCAAAAACATCTATTTTTTACCTTTCGTGCAAGGATTAAGTGGTGAACGTGTTTGATGATAGCCATCTTGACAACGATCACAGGTTAAACCAGCTACACCTTGTTTACATCGACACTGTCCACTTCTTCTGTCACAATCATGACGGACAATAGATCCAATTGGATGACATCGACATGCTGTATGAAGAAAATTAAACAAATTTTTAACTGTGAAACATTTAAGAAAAAGTGTCGATAATAATATATAATATCCCAACAAATGAGTGTTGATAACAGAGTACGCTCTTCACATTCGAAGCCTTATTATTAATGGAGATACATTAAAAAAACAAAAAAGAATTTAAGAGAAAGTGGAGATAACACACAATTTATATTTAATTGAATGTAAGCTTGTATAAATTATGTAAATCATGAGCTGCAAATCTGGTTTTCAGTGTCAGTTTGTGACGTGAAGCTCCTGTATACAACTAAGGTTATTGATTGATAAGTATATGGATGAACGACTAAGAATTCTTATAATAAATAGCAAAATTATTATATAATGATAGAAGGAACAAAGACAAAATTTAAAATAAAAGATTTTTTTACAGAAACTAGGTCACACAAAATGTTTGTTGATAAGTTGGCAAATGAAATAATCAGTCATAACACCTAAGAGGAAGATATAAATGGAGTATGAACGAGGAATGATTTATCAGTGATAATCAAAGGATCAATTAGTGCACGATTGTCATAGTCTTCTGTCTTGATTATTCCAAATATATCTGAATTAACTATATTGTTCTTTACATTAGCCAACTGGCAAGTTATTCTGCTAAACAATAAGTATACACCTTCCAGCCTTAAATAATTTTATACGTTAAGTAGAAAAGATCCCATACATGTCTGTTTTTTAAATATATATGCTACAGAGGTGCACATAAGTTTCATTATCTAATCTCAAGTTACAAACAACTATCAATTTTGATTGATATGAGACGAAATTGATGTTCGATATCAGAAATTGTTAAACATATAAAAGAGACTACTGAATAAGGTGGAATCCTTCCGTTCAGTAAATAATAAAAAAGCAAAAAACACAAGAAATACACGTTCATCAAATTCACTTTACTTGGAGTAGATCCATATATATCATTCGTATATTAAAGTAACTAATGTAAATTAAGTCTATTTATAATATACTGTAGTAAACAAGAACATGGGTGAGGACAATCGAACGTATTTGAGCACAAAATTACGGAATATCTCACTAAAATTTAACAACCATACAGCAAAACAGGTAATTTGTAAACTATCAATCGATTGTCTCAATCTTGATTATTCCTTCTGCAAATATCAGCCCATCATCTTCGATTATTGCTGTTTATGCATTTTCATACCAACTGAATTTTGTTTCCGTTATTTCGTTATCGATCTTCTACTGAAATAGATTCAATCCCTGACCATCATTATATACTACTTATGTGGATATAAGTAACCAATATCACAATACACTGACAGTGATATAACATTAATATTATTATGACATTCTTATTGAGAGTAGACAATATTTAGTGTATATTTCTATTAGGACAGTAAATAGAGATTAAACTTAACAACTAATCATAGCTCAAAAGGAATTAGAATTTAACATAAAACATATATTATTGAAATCCGAATTTGTGTTTTGAACGAGGAGATAGTCAAAACATAATTACAGATCAATATATAAATTCCACTGTCCGGATACTATCAGCAACAGCGTTTTATGGGAGAGGACGAAACAACTTCCAGCTGGAGAGGTAATTAGAAAAAGACACTGGAAGTGGATAGGACATACATTGAGGAAATCACCGCGAGGCAAGCCCTAACTTGGAATCCGGAAGGGAAGTGGCAAAGAGGAAGGCGAAAGAAGACATTACGCCGGGAAATAGAAGCAGATATGAAAAGGATGAATGTTAACTGGAAGGAACTGGTAAGGATTGCTCAGGACAGGGTTGGATGGAGAATGCTGGTGGGCGGCCTATGCTCCTCCACGAAGGGTAACAGACGTAAGTAAGTAAGTATAAATTCCCCTGAGATTCGAATAAATGTTGAGATTAGTTTATAGTAATAAAATATTTACTTTTTTATTACCTAAGTAAAGTAACTTTGTTAAAAGCATATTGAAGTTAAATGAATGATCATATTGACTAATATATAGAAAATATCAATATACCAATTCATTAAAATATTACAAAGAGCTAATCGAAAATCTTTTAGTTAAGAACTGTTTTATATTTGCGAATCAAACGAGCAATTTGATGAATATACTGTTTAAACAAATGAGTCAAGATTGATCTTACGTTTAAACTTTATACATGAAGTATGGAATTTAAGAAAGTATCTCGTAATTATAGATTCTAGTTTTAGGGTAGATTAGTTTTTAATTTGGTTGCATTAGGCACAGAATATCGTTTTTATCAGTTTTTTTACTGAACGAATTATTCTGATGAGTTTATTCATACATTGTATTAATCGTGTTGCTAGTATTTACAGTTGAATAAATTTTGTCCACCAAGTTGAAGTGTCAGTAGGATTTTTATTAAAAACCATCTAATTGAAATCATTTACAAAGATAGTAAACATTAGTTGGAAACTGTCGACAACAACTTCCCGATGACCTTTAATGACCTTTAATTATTGTAACAGAAACATTTTACTCATTTTAATCATCTTATTATGTTCACTAAATCTATTGTTATTACTCGTATTACGTAACCTAGTATTATAATCTTTCCATTATGTCATCTTGGTTATTCGTGTTCACATTTCATCACAGACTTAGTGTTTTAACAAAACATTTTCATATATACATACGATTGTACAGCTTGATAATACGTTGAAGAGATATCTTCGCTTAACTTCGTGTTTTTAATTTTAATGTTTAAATGGGAATTATATGTCACTTAATAAAAATCAAAATTAAAACTGGGATAACAAATGAATTCCGAGAGTAAAATGTGGAAAAACGCTAACAAATAGAAGTTTGAAATCTCAACTTTATACACTCAAGGAGTTAGTGAACTGTTTCTACCATCAATAGCATCGTTTTGACTGTCTATGAATAATTATTGTTTTGATACATCTCACATTAATCAACTAAACATTTTTCTGTTTATTATCCTATGTAATCAACTATTTCCAGAATTATCTTCCAACAAGCTTAACAACTTCCAAATGTCTATATTAGGTTATAATCCAACGTTACTCTCAATTGGCTTTAATTTGTGCCATTTTTTTAAATTCAATGTTGGTATTTTTCATTGACAATAAATACTACCGAATAGTATATTGTTTAGGAAAAAGTAATGCAATGCAGCCATTATGTTGGTCGACTAATTACCGCTTCTTTATCAGTACTTCCTCACCATCTATTTTTTAAAACCTCTTTCTTTTACAGAGAGTCTAAGGGTGGTTACAGAATAACCTGGAGAATATCACTAGGTCCAGTAGTCGTTAAATATGATATGTATGTATATAAATATATCAATGGTAAGATTCATTGAGGTATAATCTAGTAAAGAGAAATCAAAGGTAAACTGATATTAATCAATCAGAATTTCATGGGAAATCTTGTAATAACTCCACAACGATTAGATGTTTTGAATCTGAAGAAGCATTTTCATTGAACTCTGAATTAGAAAACCAGAGAAAACTAAGTTTCATGCAGTTAGTTCCCTTTATGAATTTAAATAAAGACAGAACAAATATTGATGCAGAATAATATGAATTCTTTATATTTCGTGGTTTCTCATCAGTTGCTTACAACCAAATATGCATTAGAGTTTCAGCATTGGGGTAATAAATAGGATGGAACGACTGACATAAGTGAATGTAAAGGATTGGAATAACAAAAGTCATCGATGATATATATATATATATATATGGGCAAGGAAAGGTTAGAGGTTATTAGGTACTATTATAATCTATGAATGTTGGATTTTTCGAAAACAGAATAACTAAGTTCATTTACTTACAAAAAGATATAGAATACTTTAAAACTACACATTACTTTTATTCATTCTAATCAATTATATTTGATTATATATAGTTCAGATCATCAGTCAATTGAATCTGGACCACCATGGAAAACCTGGAAGCACTGGACGGCCATTTCGTCCTATTATGGGACTCCTCAGAAGTGTGTATCCACGATCCAGCCTCACGAGATTCGAACCCAGGACCGACCAGTCTCGCGCGCGAGCACTTAATCGATAGACCACTGAACCGGCCGGCTTCCAACAGTGTTAATGTTTAACTTCAACCAATCCACAAAATTTAGCGACCATTCACCAACGTCTTCAGTGAGTTGATATCTCCGAACAGACCTGGTTGAACTCCACTGGTTACCGCTTCTCACTAGAACTCCAGAAAATACCTCATAGAGTCAGTCACTGTGAGCATATGATCATTATCAGAAGGAGGTTTTGTGGAGATAGGAGATAGGACAAAACGGCCATGCAATGCTTCGAGGTTTTCCATGGTCGTCTAGGTTCAATCGACTCATGATCTCAACTACATAAAATTACTAAAATCTCTACAAAACCCCCTTATAATAAAACAAAAGAGAAAAAATTTTTAAATTAAGCTCCATAAACTTACGTAAACAAACATTTTCATGACTTAATGGTTTAGTCCAATCACGATAATAACCTTCAGCACATTGATGACAATTACGACCAATTGTATTATGTTGACAATTTTCACAAATACCACCACTTATACGATTAGATAATAAATATAATGAATTTGAAAATCGGCATTCATTTGAATGAAGATTACAATCACATTCTAATGATAAGAAATTAATAATATATAAAATATGTTATTATTGATAAGTCAAACATATTTAATGAATGATAATAAAAAGTTGTTAAGAATGATTGAACAAAAATGTTAATAAGCAGCCTGACATCTGGTTATACTGTGGTGTGGGCTACTTATATCTACATAAGTAGTATGTGGTGATGGTCAGACATAGAATGTATCTTGGCAGAAGATCGATAAGGAAAGAACAGGAATGAAGCGCAGTCGGTATAAAAATGCATGAACAATAAAATCAGAGAAGGCGAGCTTATATTTCCAGAAGGAACAGTTAAGATTGAGACAATTAATTGTCATTTTGCAAATTAACTGTTTACTGTATGGTTACCAGAATTTAGTGATATAGTCTGTAATTTGTGTATAAATAAATTCGATTGTCCTCACCCGTGTTCTTGTCCGCCACAATACTTTATCACAATAATGAAACGGTGTTGTAGTTGTTTAGATCTTCTAAAAAGCATAGTACATGAGAATAGACTGTCAGAATATATTTTCTAAATAAACTAAAACTAAACAGTTTAGTGCAAAGAACTTATGGGTAAACATGTACATATTAATAAAGGGATTTGAATTTAAAGTAATAATATATCATGATCACTAACTCAAACTTTTAGGTCATTTACTTTCCAACCCTACAAGTGTCGTAATAAACTATTATTGTTTTACAATTATCGTAACTGGATAATTGCGACTCTTAAGTGTAGGTACTTTAGCAAAATTGTAACAAGCTTACAACTTATATCAAGCTGCATGATACCGAAAAAAAATTAAATGTAGACACTTAAGTTGATGTATTTTCTTTTTGATCTGACCATTAAAGAAATAAGAGAGAATCCTATCGAGATTATTGCATTTAGTAAGTGATGTACGGGAAAAGTACACTGTGGAAATCATTAAACCGTATCATGAGGCAAAATCTAACTTGGAATCCTGAAAGGAAAAGGAAAAGAGTACAACCAATAAACACATTGCATTGAGAATTGGGAGCAGACATCAAAAGAATGAATAGCGACTGTAAAAGATAGCCGAAGACAAAGTTGGATGGAGAATCCTGGTGGATGGCCTATGCTCGTTTACGAAGGGTAACGGACGTAAGTAAGTAAAAAAAGTAGCCGGAATCTTTCGAGATTAAATATGAACGGCTAATACTAAATATTGGAAAATACGAATCAAATGTATTTAATAAATAATTACAATTTAAATGAATTTTAAAGAGCAATTTATTGCTTATAATTCTTGAATATAACAAAACTTGTAACAATGAATATATCAACGCTTATTGTAACAATATGACACATATACATATATATTGATAGTATTTAAATTGAAATGTTTTAAGTAAAATATCGTAATATATATTTTGATGAAGTTTTGTTCTCTGAGCTGGATGGTTTGGTTGTGGAGTTTTCATCGACCTTCTGAACGAAATTATCAGCACAAACTTCGGGTAGAAGTGAAGTGTTTGAATTTCTCCACATGTAGTTCTCAGCTTGTTCTGTGCACCTCGATGTTGATTTGTTCTTGTTGACCTTAAATCTGCTATTGTTTATTTCTTTGTTTGTTTCTCTTTGAAACATTTTGATACTGTTTGTTCCATTCCTCCTTATAACTTAATGATCATAGCATAAATCATCTGTTTTATTCAAATAAAAATTCACTATCCTAATGATAATTTCACCACTATATGACCTATAATTTATTCACTAACCCCTTTATAAGAATAATGTAAAGACGGCATAGATAATTTTTTTTAAATTGTAGCTATTTTATAGTTGAATTCATGAGTCGATCTAAGCTACATTACCACTAAAAACGTGGAAGTACTAGACAGCCTATTCGTCCCAGTATGAAACTCCTCAGAAGTGCACATTCACGTTCTCGCACATGGGACTTGAACTCACAAGCGAACGTTTAACTTTAAGGTCAGTGAACTATTTTATGCTATCCATTTCTGATGACAAAGTTTTATGGACATTAATTTGAAAAGACTGAACTATCAGTTAGATTTTCTTGCTTGCATAGGTTTGATTTATACACAAACTAAATAAATGGGTAAAATTTATTTTACAAAAGTATTCAATACTTTATTAACTATTTTGTATATCATAATGATGGATTATTCATACATGGACAGAGATAAACATATGAAACATTACACTCTTTCAATGGAAACTCTATTCGGATTTCAAAGAAGAGTTATAAATCAAATACTTTAAACCTTTTATAAAACTTCATTTTGGTCAATCATCATTTGATTAAATAAATCATTCTCATTATTATACAAAGCAAACAGTTATAAAATGTTTTTGATCTAAATCACTTAAATGGATTTAATTACTTCAATGACATAGTAGTATATATATAATATCGTTTTCTAGATAAACAATTTAAGTAGTATATTTATTTATTGTTTTATTTAAGATCATAACACCACAATCAACAGGATATTTCCTTCCTGTCATAACCAAGAAAAATTAACTAAAACTATTAAACAGTTTGACATCTAAGATTATCGTTTTAATTTTTTTCCATATTGTTAACTTTTAACTTGAAACCTTTCTAGTTTTCATTTGAATTTTGTTATTAAAAATGAAAGGAATAAATCTATCTTAATAAAATGATTTTATGTACAGTTTATTAGGTGTGACTTGTATGATAGTTTAATATCTTTATTATTTTTTTATTATGTTACTCAAATCTTTTACAGTTTATTTAGTAACCAATAAAATTTTACGACTTATCATCACTAATATTATTATATTATAGTAATTTTGTTAGTTTTAATCATGAATCAATTGAAGCTAGAATATCATGGAAAACCTGGAAGCACTGGACGGCCATTTCATCCTATTATGGGACTCATCAGCAGTGCGCATCCACGACCCCTTCCTTGAGAGATTCAAACCCAAGACCTATCAAGTTAGCTCGAGAGCGCTTAACCATTAGACCACTGAGCCGGCTGGTATCCAACGGTGTTAATGTTTAACATCAACCAATCCACGAAATTGAGCGACACATCCACCATTGTCTTCAGTGAGTTACTATCTCACAACACACCCGACTGAACTCCACTGGTCACTGCTTCTTATTAGAACTCCAGAAAATGCCTCTTGAACCGAGTCACCAGTGAGCATATGTTGATTATTATCAGAAGGGGTTTTTGTGGATAGTACAGTAATTTTAATAGTCGAGATCATGCTGAGGAATCCCACAATAGGACGAAATGGCCGTCCAGTGCTTCCAGGTTTTCCACGGTAGTCTAGCTTCAATTGATTCATGATCTCAACTATCAAAATTATTATAATATCCACAAAACCCCTTGTGATGTTATATTATAACTATACTACAAATATATGACAATTACGATTCTGGAGAAAACAATCCTCTCAAACTCATAGTTTAAAGCTTATTTTATTTAGCTGATGTTACTTTAATGAATTGTTTGTTTTTAGAAGAATTAATTTTGAAATAAACTGTATGATTCAATTTGTCACTTGACACCTTGTTTATAAATATATGTATACTTAATTAAAAATCTTAACTGACTTTTGAAAGATTATTGAGATAATAGTCTTGAAATTTTAAGAAAATTTTTTATCTTACCTGATTTATTTTCTGTATTATATAACTGTTTTAGGTACTTTTTTGTATTGAGAATCATTTTTTACACACAAAGACCTAATGATCAAAATTTTGACCTGACAAATATTCAAAGATGGATGGTGACTAGCAGTAGAATCTAGGACGCATGTTTCGTCCCATTTGGCACTCGTCAGCTGGATTACCTATATCCCAGAGTTGATTTTCACACCCAAATAAAACGAAAAGCGCATGCTGGATCCCACTACTAGCCATCATTCATCTTTGTTTATAAAGCTTGTAACTTGAGGCAATATTGAGGCAGTGCGTACAGGATGTACATATGCTAACAAGAGATTGATCAATTACCATCCTAAACAATAATGGGAAGAAACGAGAAAAACAATATCAAGTGAACTAACAAATATTAATTTAAAATTAGACATCTTATTTTACAGTTCATTTAACAATGAATTAACCTTTTGTATCTTTCACTGTTAATTTCTAGACAATATATCCATTTAGTCTATATATACAAAAAGTTTCCATAAACAATGAAGGTCAGAATTAACTATTACTAGTCTAAAAGCCTTAATTCTACAAATGAGTAACCAAATATATTAAAATATAATAAATCCTTTCTGAATAAGATTTTCATTTATGTAATAAAACAAAATTGAGATTTATCCCAAAACGAAATGAATTCTCAAATGAACCATAATGTATAACAAATGCCAGACTTTTATTATTCCCAAAAGTATAAATAATGAATTTTGAAGAGATTTATTAAAAGATTAAAGAAATTTTATTTATCAATTGTCGGATTAAAAAATTGGCTTCGGTTTCTTTAAAGTTTGATTTATTAGCAAATGATGGAACTTATATCGTTCAGTATAAAAGAACTGTCGTCTAAATTAGAGCGAATAGTTTCACAGTTCAGTATCTACACATAAGATAACAAGTCTACTCAATACGTCATAGATAAATAAACTTACACAGAGAAACTTCAGGTGACAATTAAAGTAACAAACCTAGGTTCCTAAATCACTTTTTGTTTCCTTGTAAATAATATGATAGTTCTTAGGAACAAACCAAAAAGGTCTTACGTATTAAGAAGAATACTAAACTTCTAAATGATACATATCTTCGGGTTATGGTACTTTTTGGGTAAGAATAACAATCATTCTCTTACTTAGTTTTACCAAAACACTCATAATGTCTATAATATAATCTATAACTTTTATTCTCTTGAGTTCATACATAATTACCATATTACCGCTTTATGTTACAAAAAGCATTCAACTAAAAAATTATCACTAACAAAATAAAGGTGATTAGAAAAGCTGTTAATTCTTTCAGGAAATCTAATATCAAACATAACTCTGCCT